TGGCTGGGCCTGATCCCCTGGTTGTCCTATATGTGCCACTTATGCTACTGTCAAATATTGTTCTGCTATAGCTGGCTGCACAAAGCAGGCTTTCTCCATAACAAGAGAAGGGTTAAAAGTATCCTGCAGGTGTAAAGGTCGTCCTTTTTGCAGCTAGGTATCGTTGAGGCTACCAGTAGTGTTCGAAGTGGTGTGCTTTCCTTGTGAATAACTTTGTTTTTCTAGGACTGCTTTCACTGTTCAATGTGTTTCTCTTTTTTTTTTTTTTTTTAATATCTAGAACATTTCTGTCACATGTTGTATCTTATTGCATGACTAGACATGACTAGTCCTCTTCAGGAGGCCATCAGGCCCTGTTTGCAGAGGGCAACAAGTGGCCTGCCGTCTGTCAAAGCAGAGCAGCGTGGGTTTTTACTCCAGTCTCCCTCTAGAAACAGTTTGGTCTGGAAGTGCTGCCTTAAAGGCTATTTTAATGCATACCAGGGCTTGATATAGGACAGAATATGCTAAGCAAATTCAGCAGATTCCAGAAGGTATTACCTTAGCGTCCATTAGGAGAAAGTGCACAGGCTCCTGTGTTTTATATAGGCCATTCCATTTGCATAGCTCAGTGATTATTTTACACTTCAGTCATCTGTGTATTTTCATCTTCATCCTGAAAGTATGCAGACAGCACAGAGTTAAAATTTGGAATGAAGCCAGGAGCAGAGGACAAAAACAATGCGCAGTTGGGTAGTAAATGTATCTCTATTATGATGGACTGGGACAATCCTGACAGTTCCTTCAACAGGCTTTGCACAGGAAGAGTGAAGTTGTGTGAAGTGCCTCAGTTTCACAAAGGGATGGATGTACAAGTTTGTCAGAGATAGGCCTGTTTCTGTTCCTTGACATGTCAAAAATAATTATTCTCTGTAAGGAAAAAAGATTGTTTTCAGTTAACTTTTATGTTGTAGGTTACAAATCTACAAGTATGTGAGATAGAGATCTAATGTGGCTTTTATCTCTAAAGAAGACCCCTTCTTATCAGCATTTATTCGTTTATCTCTCATACAGTGATTGTCCCAGCACATACTGAGATTCCTTGTCTTAGCTCCTTTGGGTTTGTTTACACAAGAGAGTGGCACAAGTATAAAATTAAGCAGGTGCTGCTTAGAATTTTGCACAAAGTTTTGGCGACCTGGAAGCAGCTTGGAGTGATGCTGGCAGGGACAAGGCATCATGAAGAAGCTTTTGCTGCTCCATGACTTTTCTCTGGCTTAACAAAAGGCTGGTCTAAACAGACGAGAGTTGAGCGTGTTTTCCATCATGCACTGTGGGAGCCAAACCTGAATTTCACATAGAAAATAAAGTTTGTTCATGGTGCAAGAGGCCCCAATGGATGAAAAGCTACACTTGCACAGCATAAGCAGTGTGACATGAATCTCGCTCACATTCTTGCTTTAAAAGAAAAAGAAGTCCTGTTAAAAGGTTGGCTAGTAACTTTTTGTTCTTACAGGGGTCTTACCACTGTGGCCAGTGCAAACCAGGATATACAGGAGACCAAGCCAGGGGATGCCAGGCTGAGAGGAGCTGCAGAAATCGAGCCCTCAATCCATGCAGTGTCCATGCCCGTTGTATTGAGGAGAGGAGAGGAGAGGTGACATGTATTGTGAGTTCATAAATTCATGCATTTGTGCAGTGAAAATTAGCCTTTTTTAGGCTGGAACTGAGAAAGTCTTTGTGGTAATTTTATACAGTTGTGTGTTTTAACCAGATTGTGGCACACTGGCCCAGACCAGCTATGAAAATAACCGGGCTAAGTCTGTCTTGCAATTGTTTTCTTCTTGCAGCATGTCTGTAAGGCAGCCATACTCATGTACCATATTTACTGTGTCTGTGTAATTAGATCTTTTGGGAAAGGCTTTTATAGACTTTCTATAGTCTCCTCAGAAAGGACTGTCAAGTGTCCCTCTGCAGAAGACATCACAAGGACAAATTCCTCTCCTGGTGCTCAGCTACATAGCTGTGAGTAGGGATCCTCTCTGCATACCCAATGTGCCTGTATTTGCTTGCTGATAGACATGGTGTTTTTCCAAGTGAGACCACAGATTCTAGGCACAGGTAGGCTGTACTATGCTTTCCAGCCATGGGAGCAGAGGAGCACCAAGTGGCATATGAACTTTCGTTGTAAGACTCTAACTGAAGTATGTTACTTAGTTTTTCCACCTTGCAAGGGGAAGCAAGAGACTAATCCTGTGTCCTAAATTTGGATGCAGTGTGTGCTTTTGCTGGCACTTGCTTTGGTCTTATTTTTAAGTACATCTATTTCAAAGAAGAATAATCTAGGATATTTTAAGTCCATGCTGTAATGGAAAGATACCTAATACTTGCGTTAGGCAAGTCCTCATCTTAAGGGAAGGCCAGAATTTGACATGCAGTTCTAAGCATGTACCTTCAGTTACAATACAAATTAGGCATTGGTTTGAAAGAGTACCAATTTAATTGGCTAGGAGAAACATGTGCAGATGCACTTGCTTTGCTGATGCAAACTTAGTAACTGTCAGCGCAGTTTTCTCTTAAAACTTCTAGTTGCAGATGTGTTCTTGAGATACTGAACAAAACACAGTCATTCCACGTAACCGTGGGCCCCTTGCTGAGATGCTACGTGCATGTTCTGCCAAGGTCCCCTCTTTTCTTTTTCTCCACCTGCAGGTGAGATCAAAACTGATTCCTGACCAGTGTCTGAAAGAAATCTATAACCTCCCACTGAAATAATTAGGTGTTGCAGGCACACATTCCATTTAACATCAAGTCTTAGCTTGTTCTAGCTGTGCCTAGATATAGAGAGCTTGAAACAAAGATTTTCTTTCCACATTGAGAGATGCTGAAGTGAACCTCATTGTACTTCAGTGTCTGTCCATGGCTTCTGTATGTTAGTGTTTTCAAGACTAATGTGGGGTTTCCTTCTTGAATATTGCTACAATGACTCATTAACCTTTTGGTAGTACTACCATGGTGTTTTATTGATAGTGTGGCATTGGCTGGGCTGGTGATGGTTATGTTTGTGGAAAAGATGTGGACATTGATGGGTATCCTAACGAAGAACTCTCATGCTCTGCTGAAAACTGCAGAAAGGTAAGAAATTCTTACTCCTATAATAATTCAGAGCATGAAGGGGTAAAGAGGAAGAGTGGAAGAAACATGACTAGATGTATTAATCTTTTTTCAGGTTATTGAATTCCTCTGGATAAATTGTATTTAATTTGATTAATTAAAACAATAATAGAAAAAGTCGTTCAAATTATGAAGGCGTCCAGTTTACCCATAGAATACCAGACATGTCTCATTTTTTGTCTAGGACAACTGCAGATTTGTCCCAAACTCTGGACAAGAAGATGCCGATAGTGATGGGATTGGAGATGCCTGTGATGACGATGCGGATGGAGATGGCATTCCCAATGAGCAGGTGCTGTGTGTAGATCAGGGTGCAGGGGTGTATGCAAACAGAAGGATTTCATGTTACTGCAATAGGCAGCGATTTTGAAATCTGGATCACTACTATTTGCCAGAGATTATCCCATCCCCATCACTGTCAGCAGCTCTCTAAATCCTGTTTTCTTTTATATAATGCTCACTATTATAAGACATAAAAAGCCCAGGCTGTCTCACCCAGCCTTAAATCCCACCAGTGTATGCTCCATTATTATATCTTAGCATTGAATTCTAGAGCTTTTTGTATACAGAACTTGGGTCCTTCTGTCACGTTCTCCCATAGTATGGCCTTCAGGAACGTTACTTGCATTAGTGTCTTTCTTTTTAAAGAGCAGGTTGACCTGACATCATATTCCATGAGGGATCCAAAACCCACATCAATTAATGGGTGTCTTGCCAATAACTTGAAAAAGCTTTGAATCATGTTCTCAAAGTGAAAGAGGTTTCCATATGGGTACACTACTGCAGAATATATTGGAGAATAAATTCAGACTGTAAAAGCTCTTTTGTGTTCACTCCATATCCTCACATGCTCACTGTTGTGCTATATTAAAATCCTCCTGTGGTATTGCTTAATGCACAAGGAAGACAAGAAAAACACTCTATTCAGGGTACAAATGTCCATGTGGAGCTAGGGCAGACTAGCAATCACAGAAGGTATGTCTCAGGCTGTTTTGCTGCAGAGGCCAACCCTAAATTCTGGTAGCTTGAAGCAACTGGTTTTATTAATGTTCTATAAGAAAAGATGTTAAATCCTCCTTCAACTGTAAATCTATATGCAGGTTCAGCACCTTTGCAATCAAGTAACTTCTGTATTGTTGCTAAGCTCTGTTCTGCCTCCATGTATTCAAGAGGATGGGGTCACGGGTGTGCTCAATGGGAGAGGAAAGTTTACACCACTTTCAAATAAAGTTTTCTTCATATGCCTACTGATGGTCTTAGAGAGGTAATAGCAGCTTGGTTGACAAAAAAAAAAAAAAAGACTTGTACCTTTTTGCATCAAAAAGTCCTGTTTTTCCAAGTGTTCCAGCTTTGGTTTGAGTCTCTACCAGAAGGGGGCAATGGCCTTTCACCGAGAGCATCTACAAACCCTGTCAGGGTCTCTGAACTGCAGCGTTTGAGAAGGACCATGTAAGGAAGCCAGGGCACCAAAACAGGTTACTCACCATGGATGCATCCAAAATGAGAATCAGAAGTCAAAGTTATAAATAAAGCCTTATGATACTGGGTGTTTATGTTTAGGGTTCCCGTGGTGTGGTTCAAAGCAAGGCTTTGAGGGAGCTAGTGAAACCTGGTCCAAGCTAATATTCACATAAAATGTCAAACTGCTCACAGTAATCATTTTTTGTGAAAGTAGAAATAAATACAAGAGTTATATAAATCCACTAAAATAGAAATTAAAGATTCGGGCCTGGTTCATGTCTGATTTGGATCTGTGTCTCTTGCAGGATAACTGTGTCTTGGCTCCCAATGTTAACCAGAGAAATGGCGACCAAGATATCTTTGGAGATGCTTGTGACAACTGCCGCAATGTCCTGAATAATGACCAGAGGGACACAGATGGTGATGGGAAAGGAGATGCTTGTGATGATGACATGGATGGAGATGGTTGGTAATTCTTCACTTCCAGCTTCTCTGATGTTCTTGAAACTTGCCCAGAATGTGCCATGTATTGGGAGATTTCCTGTCACCAGTTGCTGTCTTTCTTCATGAAACCTGTGTTTGGAATCCTTTTCATTTGATTGGATGCCCTGAACACTGTAACAGATAAACCAAGCCATGTTTCATGTATAAGTTAAGGTCATTGGTCATTGAGTAATTCCTTAAATTATTTAATTCTTAAGTAATTCCTTAAAGGTGCAAACATGTCCCAGAGTACCCAGCTGCTGCCTGTCCCAGATGCCCAAGAGCTACATAATGTATTATTTTCATTGCTGTAGGAGGCTTGAAAGAAGTAAAAAAATCACAACCCTTCAAATGTAATAACAAAGATGAAACGTCCCATCCTGTAAGCTGTGATACAGGAACAGGGTAGAATGAATTGTGTGTAATAAATGAAGTGTGTGTGATGGGGTTGAAAGCTGTTCTTTTGCAAGGTGTTTCTAACTTCTATTAAATGAATGGATGCATACCTGCTGTGGTGTAGGTAGTTGCTGAAAAGGAATAGTGTCTTTAATGTTCTTGATGTTTATGTTGTCCAGTAACAAATACGGGAATTGTTTTTAACTAACATCGAATCCACTTTTCACTAGGTATTAAGAACCTTTTGGATAATTGTCAGAGGATCCCCAACCAAGATCAGGAGGACAAGGATAATGATGGCGTTGGTGACGCCTGTGACAGCTGCCCTGCAATCAGCAACCCAAACCAGGTTAGCAGGCAGAAGGAAAAAATATCCTCGTTTAGGGAGAGGGACTGCTGAGGTCCAAAAAGATGCAAGAGAATGAGGCAGCCCATGCAGTCACAGTGTTTATCTTTTAACAGTAGGTATTCAGGAAAGTTTTATGGAGCTTCAAGCTCTCCTGACATGGGAAAGGGTAGTCACCAGGTATATTCTCATAGCTGGGGATGTTGTTAGCACTTCTGCCCTGCCAGTATCTTCTGCTGTCATACTCTGAAATGTGGGCATGCTCCAGTCCCACGGAGTCCAATGCCGGACTCCACACAGTGGTGTGATTTAGTTACACTTGGTATTTCTTTGATTAGGACAAAATTCTGGTGTCCTTATTTAGCAAAACTTTCATTGCTCCTAGGTGAGAAGTCAGTGAGACTTTCCATGTTTTGAATTCTGATTAAGCCCCTTGTGACTAACAAAAACAGCTGGAAACTTTAGAAAAATGTGGTAGATTTTTAAAGCTGCTTAAGAAATCAACCTTTATTACAAATGGGGGATACTTATTTCCAGAAGTAGAGGAATCTTGCTTGAACTACTCATCTTGCTTGAACTGCTCCAATCAAGTTTAACCCTGTTTATTCATTGTCTGGGGTTTTTTTCTTTAATAAAACTGACTTTTGGTTAGATGGATATTTTGTAAAACAAATATTTTTCCATGCTTTTATTTTAATTGTATTTGATTTGGTTGTGTTTTGGTTTAATACTGCCATTTTAATAGACGCTCTCAGCAGCTGATACTGAAACTTTCTCCGTTTCCTTTTGCAGTCGGATGTTGACAATGACCTGGTTGGAGATTCCTGCGATACCAATCAGGACAGGTATGCTGTGCTATGGCTTGTAACAGCAGCAGGGAAGTGGAAGAGGCTTGTCTTGAGCTGAAGCATGCTACTGATTCCTGGAGAGCTGTAATCCCTCAGACTACTCTGGATTTAATTCCAATACCTCCTCAAAGAGATGTTATTTCAAAAACAATGTTATGATTTATCAGCCTCGTTGGTTCACTTCCCTGTAGCAGTACAGTTAAGGAGCCCCTCACCTTTAGCCTCATGTTCACACAGGCTTCCTGTGGAAGTGTCATTCAGAGCCGTTCTCTGGCTGTAAAACCCAGAGCACTGCTGAGAGATTCTTAGTGAGGTAACATCTTTTTTCTTTTCTTTCTTTTTCATTCCTCTTTTCTTCCTTTTCTTCTGTAGCAGAAATTTCACAGTTAAGGGCTGTGTTTTTCCGTAAGAACCTAGTGTTTCAGAAACAGAATTTTATTATCAAGTGTAAAACATTTGCAGATAAATCCCTTTGCTTTAGCACAGCAAGAGTGGCAAGGCTCCTCTACGGCTTTTACATGCCCTGAGCATTCAGGGGAGCACATCCCATCACAAACAGCTAACGCCTGGCTGGAAGCAGCTTCTGCATAGCCAGCTTTGGGGGTGGCAAGTCCTCCCCTGTGCTCCTCACTTAGAGCAAGAGGAAAGGGAATTGATAAATCCTATGCTGGCCCAGCGTTTCACCAGCCACAGACGGCTGCAAGGTCTCACCCCAGGGCCTTTGGTGGGTGCTGCTGTCTGGGACGATAAGCGCGGGGAGCCCACTTCCCCGTCTCCGCAGGGAGCATTCCCAGTCTTGGGCCAGTAGCTGCCAAGGCCCCCAGCTGGGAGCTGGTTTACTTTTAAGTAGTTATGACCTTGTGTTTTTCCTGTTTTTCTTTTTCTTTTCCATGTTTTCTTTTTTTCCTCAAACCTAACTAATGTGTGTGAAACATTGCCTGGTAGAAATGCTGTAGCTCTGCCTGAGGTTAACCTTGCAGTAGATACATGTGCGTGGTCCTCATTGCATTTTATCTTAAGACTGTGCAAACATTAGTTGCTCTGACCTAAAATTAAAGCACCTTTATTAAGCAGGGAGAGATATGTGGGAATATGCATAGCTATAAGCTGCAGCACTGCCTTAATTTGGCTGCATGTCATTTCTGCTCTGCCTGTGCTAGGCAAAAAGCTACTGAGGGGAAACATGCCTGCTTATTGCCAGAAACCATTTTGTTTATGGTGTGTGTACAAAACACACCTGACTTCAGGCCATTTTTTTGCACAGGTGCATTTAACTGTTGGCATGGAGAAACAAGGCAGCCACCCCATAACTTCCCAAACCCTTTTCTGTAGTCTGTGTCCCTCTTCCTGATGACTCTTCATTGTAACCAGCTGATGCAGCCATGGGCTGGAGGGGTGCTTGGGAGCTACAGACTTTCTCCTCTCTTTCTTACTGCACGGTTCCCGTGCGGGACCATAATGTAACAAAACTTGCTATGCAGGAGGGTGAAAGTGGTCGTCGTTTTTAAACAAGTCTGATTTCAGGTGCTCATACAGAGTCTCCCATAAATTTTCATTCACACTCACACCTGCATGTTTGTGAGCACCAAAACACTTCTGGACGACATGTGTGACAAGGGACACCAGCTGTTGAGCTTTCGCTGTTTCCTGGGTGCCTTTTGATTGATGACACTGCACTTGGATGCCTTACACGCCTTTTAAGAGTGGATGTCATTTGGGATCTTGGGCTCTGGTATCTTTTCCCACTCCATGTAAGGCTTTTTTTTTCTTTTCCTTATCTGAGTATTTTTATAGCTCCAGGCTTAGTCTTCATCTTCTTGCCACCTTATCAGACAGTCTCTGTTTGTTCCGTGTCTCTGCACTGTTCATCCACCTGAGTGACACCAGGTCGTGATGCCCCACTGGTCTGTTTCCAGCTCTGGGCGTGCCTCCAGTGTGTTTCCTGCTCAGGTACCCGTGCCATCCTCTATGCAGAGACAGGAGCTGATGCTGACATGCCATTTCTTCTTGTCTCTGTGCTCGCAGTGATGGCGATGGGCACCAGGACAGCACAGACAATTGCCCCACCATCATTAACAGCTCCCAGCTGGACACGGATAAGGATGGGTTGGGTGACGAGTGTGACGACGATGATGATGACGACGGTATTCCTGACCTCTTGCCCCCAGGCCCTGACAACTGCAGGCTGGTCCCCAACCCAGGGCAGGAAGATGAGAATGGTAAGATGGGTGTTCAGGAGCCATTTCGGTGCTTAGGCACTACATCCTTCCCCAAGCATTACACATGTGCACCAGGATCCGACAGTCACCATGTTTGCATGTGCTTATCCCAGGAGGGACCCCAACACACAGGGACCCTTTGGCCAAGACAGAGGTCCTCAGGTCCCCTCCCCAGGCACTGTGGCCATTGGGGCTGAGACTCCACCTGCTTCTTGGACACCCTGATCCAGTGGCTCGGCCAGATGTGGCTGCTTGCTGCACCATAAATCTGCTTTCACTTCTCTAATGCATTCAGGTGATGGAGTCGGGGATATCTGCGAGTCTGATTTTGACCAGGATACAGTGATTGATCAGATCGATGTGTGCCCTGAGAACGCAGAGATCACCTTGACAGACTTCAGGGCCTATCAGACAGTGGTGCTGGACCCAGAGGGGGATGCCCAGATTGATCCCAACTGGGTGGTTCTGAATCAGGTAAAAATACATCTGGTCTTTCTGACCTGTCTGAGAAAGATCATTTGAAAACCACAGTAAAACACTCTCTAATTGCTGGACCTCTGGCAAACAAGTGAAAAGTGGAAGCTGTTGATTGGTTGACTATTTTACAGGAGTTATAATGAAGGAACTTGCTTTTAGCATATGATAGCTTGAACCTTGATGCTCCTAATAATCTAAAATAACTACAGGCTGGGCAACTTGTTTTGAGTGGATTTCACTGCTGCCAAGAAGGCAACATGAGACTTTTATGTCACCCTATTGAAATATTTCTGTAGCAACAGTTTCATGAATCCTTCCCAGAATTTCAAAGTCTGACCTGCTGTATAGCAGAGCATTTACTCCTAGATGGAGTCCAATAACTGTTATTTACACTAACAAATTTTAGCCTTCAGGAGGCTAATGTGTTCTGAGTCACAAGGAATGTGCAATTTATTCCCATTGCCAAAGTCTCTGCCAAGCCAGCTGAGATGTATACACTTTCCTTAACCCAGTCCTGGCAGTCCGTTTAATCCCAAACCCCATGAACAAACTGTATGAGCTAAGCCTAGGAAAAGCTCTCTTCCTACCCCCAGCCCTCTTTGCGCACACCCCTCGCCACCCAGTCCCATCTCCAATTCTGGCCAGATTCAGTGATTTCCAGAAGAAGTAAAGAAAATATCAGAGTACCAGTATGGCCAGTTCTGCAATGGGGAAAGAAAAATCCTTCCTGACTCAGGGCACACAAGCAGCTGAAACATTAGTATTTGATTATAGTTCTCATTTTAATTCAGAGCTACAAGTGTTATAGACATGTTGTGAGCAAATGGAGGAGATGGATGGAGGGGGTGCTAGAGGGAGGCCAGAAGAGGCTGCCAGGCTTAGCCAACCCAGCTTGTCACGCACACTAACCACCCTGAATTTATTCTTACAGGGCATGGAAATTGTGCAGACTATGAACAGCGATCCTGGCCTTGCTGTTGGTATGTACCCTTTTCTGAGATTCAAGTTTACAGCAGAAGATTTATAGGCATGTGAACGCATTTTCTGCAGACTTGTTTTTAACCTGTGTGTATCGTCAGGTTACACAGCTTTTAACGGTGTGGACTTTGAGGGCACTTTTCATGTGAACACGGTGACAGATGACGACTACGCTGGCTTTATTTTTGGTTATCAAGACAGCTCTAGCTTTTATGTGGTAATGTGGAAACAGACTGAACAGACGTACTGGCAAGCGACTCCCTTCAGAGCTGTTGCAGAGCCTGGCATTCAGCTAAAGGTACTGGTCATGGCTCCTAGCTGGGGACACAGTGGTCACCACAGCCTGGCTTTGCTATCCTGCCACGTGTTGGCCATGCCGCCCCACCATCTGACTGCCATGGGCTAAGCCGTCATGCCGTGCATCGGCCAAGCCATCGCACGGTGTGTTGGCTGTGCTGCCCGACCGCTGTTCTCTCCCTGCAACAGGTGTCAAAACCGCTAAGTCAGGTGGCTGCCACACAGCCCTTTTAATAGCACCATTTTTTAAGGAACTTCATCTCCAGTCTTGCCCCTGCTCATCAGCTGGAGCGTTCAGTCTCTGCTCTCGTTGTGCTCTGACTGTAATTGGTCAAACTGCCTCCTTCTCCTTGGTCCAGGTACTCAGCTGCTTTTCCATGCAAGCGGTTGCGGTTACGCAAGAGAAGTTAGGGGCTTGTGAGCAGGAGGGAGGGTGCCTCTGCAGACCTGACCCCTGCTACAAAAAGACTTAGAGCTCCTGAAAATGACATTTCTCTGTGATCAGCATTGGAAAATCGTGTTTCTGCAGGCTGTGAAATCCAAGACAGGCCCTGGCGAGCACCTCCGCAACTCCCTCTGGCACACGGGGGACACCAGTGATCAGGTCAGGCTGCTGTGGAAGGACCCCCGAAATGTAGGGTGGAAAGACAAAGTCTCCTACCGCTGGTTCTTGCAGCACAGACCCCAGATCGGTTATATCAGGTAAGAGAGGAAAGGACAGATAAGTGAGTGCGGATACATGTGTGCCTAAACTGTTGTTTCTCAACACCTGATTCAGAAGATAATCTGAGAATTTATAATATGTCTGGGCTTTGCACTGATGAAGCCTTCTAAGAGGTTAGACTTTTGAAATTCAGCCTGCAGTTCTTTTTCTAGGAAGGACAATGCCACGCTAAGCCTGTAACTGAAGTTTTCTACCATCTGGCTGTTTTAACTGTGCTCTACCTTAATAAGCCCTTTTTTGGCTTTAATACCTTGTTTTCCAAGCTACTACTGGCTTGATCTGAAAAACAATGCATTTCAAAATTTCTTAATTTTGATCTTTTAGAATATTTTTGTTGGGATTGTGATAGTTCATTTACATATTCTGGGATCACAGAATTAATAAAAGTTATCCACTTAAAGATTGTGATCCTAACTAAGATCAGTAATTATTCTGACATGATAGATTTGAGATAACATAGCATATATTCAGAAAGTTTGTCAAAGCTGTGTAATGCGTGTTATCTATTCTTATTTTGTTACTTGGAAAAAAAAAGTTATTTAAAAAATAATTCACCATTCAGGAGGAAACATTTCATTCTGCAACATCCA